TTGACCATAACTCCAGGGCTGGATATGGTTTGTGGGTGTGAAATAAGAGTTATGGATTGGTGGGGTAGGAAGTGGAGTGTAGGAGTCTTCGTTGTATCGGGCCCAGTGAAGTGCATTGCCTACCTGTGCGCGTATGGAGCCTTCTCCCACCTTGAGCTTTAATTAGGAGAAGCATCTAATACCATGCTACGACCTGCAATGTTAAATTCCTTATCGCCAGTGTAGACGAGGAGGCTCAGACACGCGGCCAGCCCCTTATCGGACTCGCCATGTGGCGTCACGCTTGTGTAAAGGCAAGCCCAGTACTCGCAAAAGCCTTGTTTGGACATCTGTTCGAAATCGGGTTCATATCAGTACGATACTGGCGTGACGGCCAAACGTGGGTCACGCGAAGTTGAGACTCAGTGTGGGAAACATTAGTGGCATTCTCGTCTGCCGCTCAGCCGGTGCTATTACATCATCTATTTAAGTCTATGAACGGGTATTTGGGTGTCGTACAATTGGGGAATGATGGGTGTCGCACAATTTGGGGGATGATGGGTGTCGCACAATCTGGGGAATGATGGGCGTCGTGCAATTTTGGGGATGATGTTTGATGTCGACGACGAGCAAGCTGGTCAGAAGTGCAACTTGAGCTGATGGCATTCCCCCTCGACGAACCAGGCTTCGAGGCCGAAGAAAATGCTGCGGTTTTCCTGGAACATCAGGCGATCAATGTGTATGCAAGGGCACCGTTTGACTCTCTTCCACTGCATATATCAGAGCACCACTGTCGCCTGGGGCGGCGAACGGGGTGCATTCAGCGATCCAGCTAACGATGCCGGCCCACTTGTGCATGTCGTGCCGCCATAATTTCTCCAAGGAAATACCGAGATCCTTGATCTTGAGCTTTTCGTCGGGTTTGTCTCTGACCTCCTGCTTCACTGGTGCATACTAGGCACCTTTCATGCTGAAGTGTATGTTCGTCAAAATACCGAAGGTTTTGCCAGTCGTAAAACCCTCCTTGTACACGCGGATGCCTGATCTCTGCTGTATCAGGCTGTTTATTTGGAAGTCACGCGTGGCCTCCCTCTCCATATCAAATTCTCGCGAATGCCCGTTGGCTTCGTAGTAGTGGAAATTCACCCGTGGTAAAGCGGCCTCGACCTTGTGCTTGTCGTCGTTCTGAACTTTGAGGATTCCCACTTCTCTGGCCATCTTGTTTAGCGGATCAGGATAGCGAACGCGCAGGTGGTCGGCCTCAGGCCTCTCCCGATGTCATGCAGGCCCATACTTTTCCAATCCCAGGAAAGATATCGTTGCGGTTGATGATGCGATCCCTGACATTCAGTGCAAGGCTCTGACAACCGTTTGCCATGTTCGAGTGTGCGGTCTTGCGATCCACGACCATGGAGACGACGTTGACCCAACCCAGAAGCAATGTTTGCGTCTACACCGCTTGTCTGCTCTGAAACACACTTCAGCACGTCTCATGACCTTCTTGGTCGCTTTGTAGTCGTCTGGGTGTGAAAGATGGGGTTCAATATTCGGAGGTGCTGAAGCCTCACAGTCCGGTCATGTCGGCCTCTAACATGGGACGAAAGTGTTGATTTTAGCGTCCGCCTCGGCCGTGTCGCAGCTAAAGGTACTTGTGGCGCCAGTGTCGTGAATGGAAGTGCTGATAAATGAAGCTTGTTGACAGCAGAGCTATTGTGATGGTATGCCGAGTGCCCGTAGGTCTGTGAAGTGGCAAGCGGCGTGGATTTGACGCCGAGAGAGCTGGTTCCGGCTCCATCGATGCCTGCATGTCAACCAGCTATCTGGCGCCTGTTGGAAGGTGCGATGGTGACTTGCGTAGGCGATGCACTTCGCTCACTGTCCACATTCCGGCGTAAGTGTCCACACATATGTTGGTGGTGCATGTCGTACAATCTTGCCCGGGTCAATGTCGTTCATCTCGAGTGGTGTGGTAGTGTACAGGTGACGCGCACTAGCTCGCTTGGCGTGCGCCGGCGGCTCTCAGGGTTGGCGCGCAGCGCGTCCTCCTCCACCCCACGTCTCCATTCTCAGCCACCACTCTCGCATCTCAGATCACTGCCGTCCATGTTCGCTTGCTACGATATAAATCACAGGCACACTTGCTCCTTCGTCCATCCACACCAGAAGATTCGGTCAGGCTTGCGAGAACGACGGGGCGCCTTGCGGAAAGCTGCAGACATCGTCCATCATGGGGTTAGCGCCATGTATCGCTCACATCTCTCGCGATCGCGCAAACAAATTGCATTTCGCGACCTTGAGCTCAAAATGCTCGACGTGACTGCTAGACAAGCGCCTCCTCGACCATCGCCAGCCAGTCATTGATCTTTCCACCCGCCCAACTCATTTCTTCGTTTTCGCTCAGCATGGCACCCCCGACTACACCGTCCTCCCAAAGGTTCCGGCGCACGATCGACGAGCTAGTCGAACACAATCTGATCGTCGACTGTGCCGACAAGGCCTTCCCACAAGAGCTGAATGAGCGTGTGGAGCAAATGCTGAACACGCCGGTCATGCCCGAACAGGCTCATAGCGCACGAGAAATCGTCTGTCAGCATCGAGAGGCCCGCTCCAGGGACAAGAAGAGTGCCGTCGACATGGTGGAGCCGCTGTTGCTCTTCCAGGGAGAGCGAACCGGCTACGCACGTGGCATACCCAACATCGATATCAGCCACGACTATACCCTGACGACAGACTTTGTCCCAATCCCACCAAGTTCCGATTCGGAAGCCTTGAGATATAAACCGGATCTCGCCATTGGGTACTTGAATCCCCGCGATACCGTGACCCGTGTAGACTCAGGGTTGACGGAAAAGGATGACGAGTTCCTGGAGAAGTGAGTTGACGATCACTCGCCAGATTCCCATGCTGACGTTAGATTGCTAGTTTCGCGCTGAACCCCGAACTATCCTTCCCGTTCCTCACTGCCGAGTGGGAAGCAGCAGACGGACATTCCATCCTTAACGCCATGAAGAAGTCTGCTCTCCACGGCGCGACGATCGTAAATTACCATCGGCAATACTTCGAGTCCGCGTACGGCGATACCATACCTGCGACTTCCGCCTACACGATGCACATGTCCGTTACATGCGATATGATGCTGCTACAGCTCTGGCTACATTGGAGCGAAGGGGGTGACAATGGAAAATACTTTATGAAAGAACTGTACTCGTGCAGTATGTCTATGGAGGAGCAGATCGCGAAGGCCCAAGCGATCCTGAAGAGCCACCTGGACTGGGCGCTTGCGGATCGGCTTCAAGCTATCAAGGACGCACTTCCCCTTTGGCAAAAGGCTCGCGCTATAGAGAAGGCGAGTCACGAATTGAAAGAGGCTAGACGCATGTCAGCACTCGCTATTCGCGGATCGGTTTTTGTCCGTTCTCACACCACCCAAGCCACGGCAAATCCAAAGACGCCTCGTAGGAGTGTGGCAACACCCAAGTCGACCTCGAAGTCAAAGGCAACCAACAGCAACCACACATCATTACCACGAACCCGAAAGAGGCAGAGAGATTCCGCTGAGAGTTATGTTCCGCAAGATCAGATTGACGAGCTCTCACAGTCCTAGAGAAGGTTCAAGATCACGGGCGCCACAGATCGCCTGGAAACGCGGGTGCCAGTGGTAGCGCGACCGCCATCGGAGGCAAGAAGACAGCGACCACCAAACCAGTGGTGGAGGTGATGGAGACGAAGGGGGTCGCGCAAGTTGTAGCAGACTTTGCCCTCCTGCTCATCGTGAGAAGCACGAACGCCGCTCGATTGTGAGCTCCTCTTCAGCTCATGCCTTGGAGTACGCGATTTGAGGTCCCAGCAATGTGTTATATGGCATCGTTGTTGGTTAAGTCTTCATACTATGTAAAGATGGATATCAGCACACAATGCACCGAGCTTCTCTCCGTTTCTTCTCAAGATGCCCTGACCGCAGTCCGCACAGATGAAGGTGACGTATGCGCCCTTCGTTGACTAGCATGCAATAACCCAAGTCTATCTAGATTCATTGCGCATATCCTTCCTTACATTATCGTGTCTCTTTATGACATTTGTTCGTGGGGCTGAACATGTGGCGAGCGAGGATGCAGCTGCCAAAATTGGGTCAGGCTCGGAAGATCGGAGACAGCATGCCACCCGCCCCATTCGTCTCTCCCATAGAACCTTCGCGTCTACATTTTACTCGGGCAGAAACCGGAATAGATCTAGCAAGATCGTATGCGATAGAGATCTGCACGGCTCCCCTCAACCTTCGCCCTCACTGGTGGACTTATTGGGATCACTGCCCTGGGCTGGGCGGGGCCGCAGTCGCGGTGCGGGCCGTATGTTGATCTTCAAGCTCAACGGCGCGGATCTAGCTCGGGGTGCTTCGCGCTTGGCCATCATGCGGAGCAACGCAGCTTCTGACACTCGCTCGAAAGCTGTGATAGACCTTTTCGTCGCGGTATCGGCCGAAAGAGTGACTCTACACGCACACCCAGCAGTGAGATATCCTCTCGACCGACCACATGGACTCTCAACATTGCAACACGTCTGACATCGTCAGCTCCCCTGGTGGAATTCGCGAACGCGACAACAGCCCATAAAATCTCGATCGATAGACAGCCTTTTGACTACTTGTTGTACTGCAGACGCACGGGTGCTGCTCGTACGGCAATCTGTCTTCATTACCGACACAGCGAAAATTGGTACGTCACTCAGTTCTCGACCAGTACATCCACTTCATTGCGCTACCGACTACATGGAGGATCGGGGGAGGGCACGAAGGCATACTGCAGCAACGTTGTCGTCGCAAAGGATGCAACCGTCGAAGATCGCATACCCCGCGGATGTGCCTTGTTTAATTGGCGGAACGCGTAGTCACGTGCATCTCGGATCCAAGCTTGCTTAACCCCTGGCGATGACGGCACGCGCCCTGACTAGCAAAGCTCCGAACCAACCAACACGAGAATCGTCCCACACCAACAAAGTAGCGCCGGCGCCAGCCCCATCGCATTATGGCGACCCTGCCTGGTATGACCGCCCTTGCACGTAGCCCGCTACCCCTCCCGTCATCTACGAGCCCTTCCGCATTTCTTGTCTTCATTGTTGGCGCGCAATCGTGTTTGCTAACATACACCAGCTTCGGGCAAGCCACGCCGCTCCACACGCACATCCACACGCTTCGACTACGCCGAACCGTCGCCAGAATCGGAAGACGAAGAACACCTTGCCGAGTGCGTCCTTCAAGAGGAGCGTCGGGAAGATGGCGTACTGTGGTATGAGGTCAAATGGGCTGGCACCGATCCGAAGACCGGTTTGCACTACGAGCCCAGCTGGATCCCGGCCGACGGAGCAAACAACGCGTTGAAGAAGGACTGGGAAAGACTGAAGAGACTCCGTAGGGCTCGAGATGCTGCCGTAGCTCGTACTGCCCGTCAATCTGGAGCTACCCGTCGAGCTCAAGCCGAGCGCACCGCCGAGGCCGGTCGCATTGTGGAAGGCGTTTGGGCCGATGAAGCTGCTCTGGAGGTCCGAGATGGTCGCGTCGCCCACACTGCCAATGCTCCCGCCGCCGGGGCTGCTCGTTCGGCCGCAACACTCGAAGCCTCTGATGACGACGAATTCACACTTGCGCGCGAGTATCAACCAATAACTCCCCGGCGTGAAGAGCGCGCGATGCGCCTTCTACATCAACCTTACGAGTCCTTGCGTCGTACTCGCCAACCCTCCTGCGATCGACCTCTTCCTTCAACCGAACACCCCTATACACTCAGTGCTAGGCAGACGACGGCACCCATCTTCACACCTACGCCGCGCTCCGCTGTCTACCGTTATCAGCCCTACCCATCCAGCAGACGACCTGGCTCACCACCTATACGACGGCCTGAGTCATTACATCGGCTAATGGCGGAGGTAATGGCGGAGTCGGCGCGAAACGCTGCAAACACGGAATTGGACCGTCAATGCTTCATATGTTTCGATAGCGTCGAGACTTTTGAAGCGGATGGTATTCACTACCAGAGGCTACGTTGCTGCGGTATGTATCCCATTCGTCTACTCACCAACACCTTGACTGACTGTACCAGGGAAGCTCAGCTGCCACAACTGCTTACGGAGTTGGCTTGAGCGCGCAGACAAACCGGACGTGTGTGCGCACTGCCGACAGCCTCTCGAAGAGTTCGAACTGCAACCAACCACTCGCGAACCTTCAGCTATGAGCGAGACGCCCTCGCCGACACATACACGACGATTACGACCACTGACACGACCTTGACGACTCCAATCCATCGAACACACCAAACGGCATCGCATATACTCAGAGCATGTAGCCCAGGCATGCAACCGGTTTTGCGGCAGTTATAAAGCTTGACAAACATGTCTGGCGAGGCACAAGCATATAGGAAGAGCAATACAATAACATTTGATAGCAACATCATGTGCCATCTGGTGAAAGCAGGCGATCTTCGAGCCTGTTGTGCAGAAGCACCTGATACAAGGGGAAAACCTGAACACCCAGGAGCCTACGTCGCCGTTAGGCCACCACCTTCGCAAGCTTTTATCTTGATGTAGGCTCTTGGGTGTTCGGTTTTTCCCTTGAATGGGGTGGAAGTACGATCCTGGCTTTCAGCCTCGCTTCATACTGAAGATGAATTTGGCTTTTTCGTATCGTGTAGTACGCTCGAAACAAAATGAGAAGAAGTGTGCCATGCGTTCCTGCACTCTCAATGGAATCGTGACGCGGAAGTGGTCAGCCAGCTGCTTGGTCTTTCCACGGCACATACAGAAACGTGCACGAAGGTGCTCACCAGCCAGAAGTACCGCAAAAATGAGGAAAATATCCATCATAGGTACTTTGTCATGCGCGACCAGTAATCTACGCGATATAACCAGCTTTATCCCATTGCTCTCGAACCCCCCCGAGCCTATACTCTGACGAATATGCCAGCCGTGGCTGTTCATCTCTAAAGAGCCGCGACGCGGTACGCCAGTGCCAGCTGAACGGTGTGCGGCAATCACCCAACCCGCGATAAACAAGCACCTCGATCTTGTACCCTTTCTTTGCACCTTGCCAGACTATGTCAATGGTGTAGTCTGTTAGACAAGAGTTACATGATCCATTTACAAGGCTGCAGGCCAGAAACGCGTCTGGACCGGTTCCTTTAGCCAGCTGGGGAAGTGGTGTGGGATATGAATCAGGATATCCTCGCCGAAGAGTAAGATGTTTGCACACTAGGTGTCCAGCGCGGTCGATGTGGTCTCGGAGTGCTAACGAGTCACCTCGGCGATGAGTCATGGATATGGTCGATAGTATCAGGAGTTGTTGGTTGAAGATGCGTGCGTGCTGGGGCCTCGAGTCTATGACTCCATCTGGGTGATGGGAGGACTGGGCTCGTTCGTTAAGCACGTCAAGAGGCAAACCGTGATTGCGTCCGTAGAGATGTCGGTTCATGACCAAGCGCGCATGATGGTAAGGAATCTGGCAGGTAACCGGGATGTAGAAGTGGTTGTCCGAATTTTGCTTGCATGGTAGACGCTCCAAGTAGAACGGAGCTATCGATCTACTCCAGCGCCCATGCCAGCGATGCAGCTTCGTACAGTGGTGACAGTAATAGATGTATGGAATGTCTCTTTCAAGCGACAGCAAGAGCTTCTCCTTGTCTGATAGTATCAGGGGCATATCGCATGTATCCCAGAGACCATGGAGACTCTTGCAGGTCAACGAAAGAGACGCTAGAGAGCATTCATCGAGATGCGCTACGATCATTAAGATAATCTCTGCGGAAAGATCGAGGGCACACGTTGACGGACCGCACATCTTCTGGAATGACCTTTTCAAACGATCAATGGCTTCCTGTGCGACCATGACTGGGTTTATAAGACGGAGTGGTTGCCGACGGCCCTGCTGGAGAGGTGAGACCTGGAACGCCATCATTTCGATGCGCGGGTATGGCTATTGCACCCCAAGTATAAAATGCGATGTGTTGATCGAAGAGCTGGCTTGTTTGTGTGGGTTGACGAGGATGGTCGACGTTGCGGTTCGTGTGCAGTGACAGTTCCAGTATCGATAGAAAATGGGATGTCTTTGATCTGGTCATAAGCCGCGAATCTTTTTTGTTGTGTGCGCGTCGCAGAAGCATACGGTCGTTGTGATCCAGTCCTACCATGGTAGTGCGACGTCTGAATAAATCATCTCTCTTAGGTGGATTCATGGGTGAGTTCCGGTTGGTGCTAGGCTGACTTAATTCGACCGGAACGTATCGATAAGGAAGAAGAATTGGTACGTGTGGATGTGTGGGACCAACCTTTGGCCAACCAGCAACTCACAACTTCCATATTATGCCACTCTTATACAGCCAAGTTCCTCAGATGAGAGATGTCGCCGCTTGAAGAACTCCGCTGGGTGGGCGAGAACACGGCCGTTGCAATCGCCGCAGATACCCTTCGTCAGTCCGGATCACGATGCTTGTCACAGACTACCTTGGCAGCATGGCTGGGTAGAGCTAATCGCAAATCCGAACAAGGAAACGCGCATTGGCAAATATGAGCACTTTTCAAAAGAAGTAACGTGGGTGGTCGCAAATACATGGGATACGAGGAAACTGTAGCTGTTATTGAAAGGAATTGCAGGTGGTTCACAGCACCAAGGTATTGGCGCACTACCACTATGCTATCTGCACGCACAAATCGTCCATCCAGTTTCCAAGTTGTATAATGCGCCTGACAAAGGTACCATGCACGTATGGATGGTGAGCGAATGTAATGGGTGTCAAGTTCCGCGCTGCGGAGAAACGCGCACGACAAGAATATCCGTGGCCGGTACGTGGAGATGAGATTGAGACATGAGCCGCACTTGCGCAAAGCTTCGACCACAATCATGATGGGGTGATAGCCCGTGGAATAAGGAAGCCTGCTCGTCGCAATAACACTAGAAACAACATAATGAGCGCAACGCCTGAAGAAATGGACATGATGATGCGGCGTGAAGTTCGTGACCACCATGCCGATTGTGTAGACAATGATCGTCGTGTGTGGTACATAGGTAGGAGCGACGCGTTGGGGCGGTACCTGAGACTATGCTACCCGCAGCGACACAGGCGCGTGCGAGCAGTGAGCAACCCAGGACGCTTTGCTACGCCAAGCAATATGATATCGTATCTCCCGCTGTGGCGAGTGATGGAGATCCCCATTCGCGGATCCAGAAGTGCTACGGCGACTTGCATGTGCGATACGACAATGCGACCAATATCTGTCATCCGGCACACGGGTGACGTGACGATGTGGCATGGGTAAGCTGGATTTGACGCTGTCGTTGGTTGGAAAGGGACGTGCAGGCGATCGTACGAGATGGGTTTCCCACAGATTTGATAAAGGTGGCATGACCTTCCATTTGCAGTCGTGTTCGTGACTCCTGCAATATACTTCCCGTATACTGTTGCCATCATCTCTTCCATCTCTCTCAATTCGATTTCCTCTAACGCCGACTTCGAGCATCCGATATCGTCATCCTCGAAAATGGAGATACTTCCAGTCACTCCCGGAAAGCGCAAGTCGCCCGACGAATCTTCTGACACCCACTCCCACCCTTCCACTGTAGAGCTCTTCTACGACTGGCCCTCCGATCGTAAGATCCCACCCGAAGATGCAACGGTCGTTTACATCAACACCATGGTCGAGGCGAAGAAGCTTTCAATTGGGGATAAGATCGCTGCGGTCCGTGAAGCCGTGGCTCATCTTCTACAGCGCTTCTGGACGCTCGATGGCCCTGAATGCGCGAGGAAGCGTCCCCACCATCGTATGCGTACGAAGAGTCACATCAATGCCGTCTTTGGTGCGAAGGAGCTTCCGAATGCAGAGAAGATAAGCATAGTCCGCGCAGCCGCCATCCATCTTCTCCAGTGCTTCACTGCAGTAATCGAGAGGAATGCCCCTAGTAGTGTCGGTTCGGAGACTCTCGAAGGTCATATTGATTACTTACGCGCCTCGGACGAAGCCTCCGTCAGCATTAGCAAGAAGACGAAGATTGTTGTCAACGCTACCCTGTATTTGCTGGAGGAATTCTGCTTGATCGACCCGAACACGTGCATGACGGTCTGCGAAGATGAGAACGGATCTGACAGGGGCATTGGCTGTGGATGAACGGGCGGGTGGGTCTTTCATGCTACAGCGAGCGGTGCAGGCGATGATTGCGGCCCATGAAGGTTAGATATGAAGCTGCTCCCCGTTGCGGCGTACTGTGGTTGTTTAGTTCTGTTTCCTCTTTGGCACTCCCGACGATCATCGTTCGTCACCGGCGCAAGGATCATACGAGTCTCCGGTCGTCGCCTAACGATGCATTAGACATGTGTTATGACGGAGCTGGCGGTGCAACACGGAATATCCAGCTAGGAGGCTGACAGAGTGGTTCAGAGTAACGATTCTGTCCAAGCTGTATGGAAGACTGAAACATGCCCAAGTCAGAAACAGCTCATTAGACAGGAGGTACTTCTCAATGCGAACGAAAGAGGGTCAACTCTCTACTTCTATACCTTCACACGCTTGGCCAATTGTTCTTCGCTCTGGGACGGTTGACGTGAGACTTCCGATTCGTTTTGTTTCTCGTGGGAAAAGCGTTGAGCTAGTTGCTCCGCCGTCGGTCGGAGCTCTGCCTCCCATGCTAAGAGTTCGATCGCAATATCCCAGAATTCTCGGTAGTCTACTCTGGCTGCGGTTGTGTCCATGATATCTCTAAAGGATTTGTAGACTGACGCCTGGCCTAGTTTTCGATGAACTTGTTTTCCTGTGAGAAAGTCGACCAGAGTGACACCGAGACTCCACACGTCTGATGGAAACGAGAAGGGCTCCGAAGACTCTTCTTCCTTTATTCGCATGACCTCAGGAGCGAGATATGTCATCGTCCCTCGATTGTGGCGAGTGCTGTGCGGGCCCTGATCGCTGCAACCAAAGTCGAGGATGATGACGTGCACTGGGCTTTCGGAGCGATAGCCTATGTTTTCAGGTTTGATGTCCCGATGAAGTATATTGAGGCTGTGAATATGTGCAAGACCGGATCCAATCTGGCGTATGGACTCGCGAAGGAAAGTAGTAGACTCCGGAAGACGTTTCCAGATTGGGAGTAATTGCAGCGCGGAAGAAGTTGCCGGTGGTGACATAATGAGACCCACAGTCAGACACTCATTCTGTCGCCATTCGTGTGGATTGGCTGACGCGTCCCAGTTTACGACCTCAAGAAGCTTGCATACGTTCTCCTAGACAAAAGTTTAGTTTCGTTTCATCAAATCCAGCGCATGACATACATGACTGATACGGCTCAAGATGCCAATCTCTCTTCTTAAGTCACCGAACTGCGAGGCGGTGCATTTGACCATCTTGACTGCGACTGGCTTGCCGTTAGACTTGTCAAAGCCCAAAGATACAGAACTCGTGGCGCCATGGTGATCAGCATCATAGATGCTGTAGCCGTGGTAGTCGATAGTTGGCTTGGATGGTGTTGGCGAAAGCAGCATCACGGAATTCGGAGGCATAGCGTTGACCTGTGCTAGGGCTTCTTCGAGTTCTCGTTGTTTCTGCTCCTGGCTCAAGTCGGTGTACACGAGTACGTAAGTGAGATCACCCAGCCGGACGCTGGTGCCATGTTGAAGGGTAGCTTGGAAATCTCGTTCGTGCTGCTGCTTTATGTCGTCGCGTTGAAAGGTTCTGCTGTCCACAGTGATCTGCAACCATCATGAGCAAAACGCGCCCCTGAAGAGACACAGTGCAATACCTTTCTGCCGTCAGACACGGCAACCATGACGCCAGTTTCAAGCTGACGTCTCAATCTGCAATGACGCGAATGAAGAGAATTTTCAGTGGTGAATGGAGCAAGAAGAAAGTCTACAAAGTGATCTGGCTTGTTCAGTCTTGAGCTTCCCACAACCCAGCCTAAGCCTTGACTCGCAGGAGGAATGGACATGTTGAGGCGGTAGTAACCGCAAAATTCTTGGAGGGCTTCGCGCTGAGGTGACGGGGTAGAAGCAGCAAAACTGCTTTCAGCAGTACTTTCGCTGGACAGCGTGACTTCGTAGTGAATGTACTGGCGCACATGATGCAGCTTGCTGCTATCGGACTCCAGAAGGCGGACGACTTGGTCAAAGAGTCTGCGTGCCGCTGGAGAATGCGGCACCAATCGCGCGAAATCACCATTGGACACTCCGTGATGCACGTTCTCCCATGAAGTTACGTCTGGCAGAGTATCCCCTGGCGAAGACATTGGTGTGATGAGAGGAGAGGAGAGGTCAGGGGCGGCCTCGGAATGTATGGAGTTGGGTAATGCGGGCGGGGGTTACCCGATACGGTTAGACCGGCCAGTGAAATAGCCGCCAGCCCTGGAGTGTTGGGACGACTTCGACACGCCCCTTCAACACCCTGCCACCGACCGCTTGTGCATGGCGTCGCTACAGCACGACCTGGCATCGCCGCCGCGCTCGCCGGCGATACCCGATGCGGTGCTTAGAATCTACGAGGAACAGTACATCACGAAACCCCTGCTGGCGGCACTGAAGAAGCTGCAAGACCAGCTGCAGGCGGCCGGCACCACCGAGGCACCACCCAAACGGGCGCCCTATGCCAAAACCCCCGAACTCGCCTGGGGCCGACTATCCCCACAACTTACACCTACTCCATCGCCCTCACCACCGCCCAAACGCTCCTATCGCAGTCCGCCATCCTTTCCGACTCCGCCCGATACGTCACCCCAGCGCCGGGACTCGACCTCCGCATCGCCTATCAAGCCCACCGCTGCTGCTCGCAAATCCCGCCGCAGAAAATCGTCATCATCCATACAACCATCTTCCACGATGCTCCGCCGCTCGCGAGCCAGAGAAAGTCGAGCTACGGAGAGGCAGTTTTGGGAACTGGATGCGTCGGGGCGGAGAGCCAAGCGCGTCGTAGGTGGATGAGCATCACAGTGATGACGGTACTACAAGACACAATAGCACGCATGAGCAGGATCAACGGACAGCATGCATGAGGAGGTTGGGTAATCTTCGATGCAGACCATGTTACCCGGGCGGAAATCTTTACTGAACTCATACCGACGGTACGCTTCGTTGCACGCAGTCTACAGCTTCTGCTATATCGTTGGCTGCTTCATCCTGCTGTCACGAGACTCGGAGGCTCTGAAGTAGACATGATGGTCTGGGCTTGCGGTGGAACGTGTAAGGGATTTGAATATACCTCCAGAACCACTACCGCGATCACGTCAGTGTCTGAAGGTGGATGCGGTATCACCTTCAACAGCAATGAAGCGTTGAGTTCACTCCCGAGCGAGACAAAGTACGCACGACGCGATGCATTGGAGCGTGGGTTGAGTCGGAGATTATTTGAATAGGGATGAGCGGAGATGTTTGCTCGGCAGGCGTGAGGATGAAGATGATGACAAAGTTGGGTCAGGTCGTGACTAGGTTTCTGGGATTAGTTACTTGCGTTTGAGCAGCCGCGCAGGACTTTCTGAGATGGCAGGGTTACGTCTTGGGAAGGATCTTGAGAGTCATCATCGCGCGTACTCGCGCGTTTTGGCGCGTGCGCAATGCAGAACTATCTCACGACAGACCTGTCATTTCTCTTATCTACTCAACTCAATCTCTGCCCAGGTAAAACGGTGAGGTTGCGGGTTGGGCTGGTATCGATGATCCTGCCCACCGCGAACGGAGCCGGCGCACTAGCCGCATTCGGTAACGGGCCTTTGCCGCCGCTGGTGTATTTACTACCCACACCAACCCCAGACTGCGGCACCGACTACCAACGTCGCAATCGCATCGAATATCGGCCGCACGCTATACCAATTTCTAAGCGCAAACAGACACTTCACGTCTACATACAGCCCATACTCAGCGATCGCAAGCTTGCGAGCCCAACACATCCGTCCCGCGGGTCTCACCCGGACAGAATCTTGTGACAGCCTCACCGCCGCTCTCCCACCGCTCGCAGCGTTTGTCGAGCATATCTTCTCTCCATGCCCGTCACCAACCCCGCCAAACTCGCACTCATGGCGACTGACCCTTCTACCTCTCCTCTTCTCCCGCTGCCCAAGTCGCGCAAGCGATCCAGGTCGACTGACGAAAGCGACTGCCGCAAGCCTGTGTCTAAGATCGCCGTTGTCGAGGATCTCATTCGCGGTCAATATACCGGTCGTTTCGAAGATCCTACTCTCCGCGACTTGGAAAGGTACCGAGCCGTTGTGACTCCCTCTGAGTTCGTTGATCTCATCAAATCCTTCGACGACGAGCTGTGCCGGTGGCTAGTGAACCATTTGACATACGATTGGAACGCCCTCACCGGAGAGATCATTCTGCGCAGGATGTCGCCTAGCAACCTTCACGACGTTGTCGCCGCAGAGATAGGCCTAGCCTTTCGCGACCAGATCGTCGCCCTGAAACGGATGAGGAACGTGTCCGCTGAGATCAAAGCTCTCGTGGCGAACATCAAGGGTCCATATGCAAATCTTGCATCGCCTGCGATCGTTCATGCTACAGAAAAGTCCGGTGACCCCAATGTCGACATCCTACTGACGAGCAATCGACAGCCCGACAATTCTTTCTACTTTCGCCATCGTTCCAACATGCCCATCGTCATCGAAGTCGGCAATTCTCAAGTTGGCGAGGAGCTCACAGAGTTGGCGGAATCTTGGATGAAAGACAGCAGCCGCAAGACAAAGACGGTCATCACCGTTGATCTGCAATACCAAAACCCAGCCACGAGAGCCGACAATCCCCGTACACCGAAGGCGGCTATATCCATCTACCGCGTCACCAAAGACTCGTACGACAAGAAGACATTCACTTTCTTCGACTCAGCAAAAGGCAAGCAAATCACGCGAACCCTTCGCCTTACTTTGGCCGACTTCCTTCCTATAGAGGAGATCAAGAAGTTTCCGAAGGACTTCAAGTTCCCTGCCATCGAGATTACTGCCGAGGAACTCCGCGATATCCTGGAACAAGGTGATGAGCGGCAGCAAGATGTGGACAGGGCGTCTCTCAGTCCCGGTAAACCTCTTCAACCGTCAAAGAAGCAGAAGCGTCAGCCGACCTCGTCCTCGACGCCGCCTGTAGTTTCCCAACCTGTGCCCGCACCAGTGGGAAGGTCGGGAAGGCCTCTGGTGAAGACTAAGAGGTATCTGGGTGAGTGAATGGTTAGGGAAATAGATCTCGGACTTGGGAGATGGTGCAAGGATAAACCTGGTGAGGAAGGCGTTGGACTGGATGATACCCTATATGATCTTGATGTTTTAGTATGAATGAAAGGAGCACTTGAAGAATACCACAATGTTTACAGCACCTATCCCACATTCGACAAGGCAGTAAATACCCTCAGGCCTTCATACTAACTTTTCCGTGACTATCGCAGCATCATCAAATACCTCCAGGGTTATCTGTGAGATTTTCCAAGACGCTGGAAGCCTTGGTGAGAACCTCCAGCGCTACCTGTCCATTCTTCCACAACGCGCGTGGCATGAGAGGATGCCTCCAGGCATACTCTTCAGCCCGCCCCAGGTTTACCCGACACGCGGAACTTGACGTGTCTATGTCACTCCTGAGCGCTAGTTCGTAGATGCTCCACCTGGCATCTGGTCAAAGCCGTGATGAGATGGTTCCAAGGAGCAGGAGAATCAACGCGCACGCGAGGTGATGGAAGGGCCTCGGCTCAGCCGAGCAGCCGCCGCATTTGAGCTAGCGCGGAGCAACTCCAGCTCCCACCTCAGCGCGTCACTTCGCCGGCCCAGCCACGTCTTGACATCCATCCCGTTTTTGCTTTGTGCCGTCGCGCACGACCGCAAGATCAACACAAGCGTCTCTCCGTCGGAGCGCTGTGCTGCGAGAACATCTCCTCAAATACTGCACCGCTGCGACACGCTCAATCTCGAGCTCTAATCTTACGGCAGGGTCTCTTCTACCAGCCTCCACGACCTTCATTCGCGATGCGCGCTTCTAAGGCCATGTCTGCACAACCTATAGCATGGGTCGGCTCAACATGGCAGATGCATATGATACCGCCGCCATTGTCACAATACCTTGTTTCACGAGGACCAGTGGCCTCCGCATCCGCACATCCCTGGTATACATCCAGCCTTGGCTACACCATGGACGCATGCAGATACAAAGAACGCGACAGTACTTGGACCACGAACCATGTCTACTTTACGCCCAGAATGATCCCATGCACTTGATCTTTTGCTTGCACGGCATAACGGATACAGACACCCAGGCCGTTCTTTCTCTTGTCACCCATACCTTGCTATCAAATACGCCAAACGCTTATCTATAAAATGACGGGAAGCAGGAGGCCTGCCCGAGGAGCCCGAGGAGCCCGCGTAGAACCACGGAATCATCACGGTATTCCACCCGCTCCCAAGCCAAAGAGACGCTACAAGCCCGGCACTGTCGCCCTGCGCGAGATCAAACGATACCAGAAATCTACCGACCTTCTGCTGCTGAAGTTGCCCTTCCAGCGGGTAGTCCGCGAGGTTGCCCTAAGCGTCTCGCGTATCGATGGCCCATTGCGCTGGCAGAGTCAAGCTATCGTGGCATTGCAAGAAGCGAGCGAAGCCTTCCTAGTAGGCCTGTTCCACGATGCCAACCTTTGCGCTATTCACGCCAAGCGCGTCACGATTCAGCAGAAGGACATTCAGCTTGCGAGGCGGTTGAGGGCGGCCTGGGGCGCGCCTGTATGAGAGTTGGCATAGGCGGCCGTGGCCATACGATCTGCGAAGAGCGTCGCAGTAAATTCGGGATGACCGACCGAGTGGTGGGGAGTGGTACGTGTGCTGTAGTTGTCGGGAGTATCTTGATTATAGGGTGAGGCGAGGAAATGGGCGGTGCGACTGATGTTTATCGCCCCGCACCCCAGACTGGTTTGACTATGCATTCAACATTCCTCATTCGAGCGCTAGAGACTCTTGCTGTAATGTCTGCCCAGCTACAGGCTCCTTAGCAGCCAAAATCACTTCTTCTTTGCGTTGTTCTTCTTGTTTCGTACTTTAGTCCGCTTTCAGTTAGCGTGTATTTCTCATTGGTCGCCATCGGCCGCGACGCGACCTCATCTCACAACACGAACAACATGCGTTATCATGCCGAACACACCCAGCAACGCCCGCCGTGTGTTTGAGCTTCGCCTTGCCCAGAGTGCGCTGAGCCCGCACGACCGAACCGCCGCGCCCACGCCGCTGGCTGATCTGCGGACCCTCGACGACCTTGTATGGACCAAAGAGGCTGT